TGCAATTGTGCTGGTCCAGGAGCCATCTTTTTTTTAAGATGTGGCTGATTTGGATAGGATTTTCCCAAGTCTTGAAGCGTAAGCTGAGCCTTCAATTTCCGAGCAAAAATAGTTGCATGAGGACCGTTTCGCTTTGGATATGTTTTTTTATTATAAGTGGCCTAGGAGGTTTTGTAGTCACTCCAGAGACTTTCCTCATCTCCGTCGCGCCCCCGCTACAACACCGTAACTGGGAAACACCGCTTTTACTCGTGCTGATTTTACTTGTGCCGATTTACTCCAGTGGGCCTCGTAATCCAATGGGAGCGCATCGGGTCATCGTCCGTGCCTCACCTTTCCCGGCCACGGACCTCTGCTGTTGCTATGCGGGGCTCCGGTCAACTTCTAGGGACCGCTACGTTATGTGTCGCCCTCCACTCTTACTTCTCGGTATAGCCACCGCCATCGACCCGTATGAACGCGTGGATCTCACTGACTGTAACAGATAGAGCTATAAGATTTGGCATGAATACACCTTCCCACGCAGTTAACAGTTGTTTTAAAAATGTCCGAGCCCGCCCCAAAAATGTCCGCCCCCAAAACAGAAACTTATTGTAGCGTAAAGTAAAATTTTTATTTTTACTCTTTTAGAGGAGTTAAAGACTTTTTAGTCTGCTTTCCTACTGAACCGATAGTATATCCGTTAGTGGAAGTAGGGGCTCTGCAAAAGTATGCAACAAACATTTTTTTCTGACAATTGTAATGGGTAACCTTTTTTAGGCAGGATGTTGGGATGCTCGGATATGACCGCACGTATAATTTTCGGCTACTGGCTCGTCCTCAAGGGGGGGATAATGTAAGTTGACAAGTTGAGCTTTGACAATTTGAGGACATCACTTTATCGGGGTCAATCGGATGGAATCCGCTGCTGGTATTGCGGCTCCTTTTGTGCCCACCCAACCTTTGCAATAATTCCCGCCCATAGCAATGGTATGGCCCCTTTAAGGTGTTAAGGAAAAGGTTCCTTAGCGGAGATCTAAAAAAGGGTTTGTCTAAAACATTATAATAATTTTATTGTAAGGTTTACCATTCATTGACTAACATATTTACAAGTATAATTATTTTTAAATTTTTTTTAAAGTTAATTTTTAAGACAAATCAAACAATTTTCCGCCTCAAAAAATTGTTTCAAGGGCTTGACGCCGATCTAAATCCGGGGAGTGACACTTTAACAATTGACACTTCACCGAAACGAGAAAATACGAGATCTTGTAGCATAACCAACGATGTATGTTTTATTCTGTTGGGGAAAAATAACTTAGAATTAACCTCAACCTAATATATATTTGACCTACCGCAGTATCTCCTCCCTCTTTCTATGGGATCGCTGATCGGAGTGTCTGTGGCGCCAAACTTAACGTAGCGTTAGACCACAATCAGTGTGGCCAGATATGAGCAAGGTGTCAACCGCGAATACAATACTGAACGTATGTGCGCCTTAGTGGCGCGTATTTCAAACTTACTGGTTGACTATTGATACTTAACTGACTACCTTATCCGTAAGGTAAGCTCGCGACAGAACCTCTCGTTGAAAGCATATATACATGCCAAAATAAATATATTTAATTCGCTTTTATATACTCTAAAAAGTGCTTGTAAATGTTCTGAAATGAAAATTAAGCTTAAGGTTTTTTTAATTCCTTAAAGAGTTTTTATTCCTCGTTGGGAGACTTAACATTACTTATTTTCTATGCACTTAGCGCGAAAAAAGTTAGGTAGTGATTCCGACCGTATATTTCCGCTTTTTTCACATTAAGGCTGGAACCAAGTGGGGTCCCACACCGCCTCCGGCCGCCAAGAAAACCTCTTTTGAAACTGGATCTGCGTTTTCCTCGGTCTTCTGCTCTGTAAAGCGCATGTCGACCCACAATCGCGGTCGATGCTGATGCTACCACAAAGAAGCCTTCTATTAAATCGCCACAGAGCAATAGAATAAAACCACCCACTTTTCTAGATATAGTCCCTTTCCTAGACTGGCCAATTCTTGATCCTTGTTTCTCACTACATTCGGGGGTTAACTGATAAAAGCCCAAAACTTGGGACGATTTTAAGTTAACAAAGTATTTTCCCCCCTTTTCGGTGCGACCACTAAACTTTATTGCTCCAGATTTCTAATCCATGCCCCATCGTGCCCCATCGATTGGTAGCCATTACCCACAGTCTTTCGCCTTTCTCTTTTTAGTCGCTCCTTGGTACTTTTTAATTTATATTCGCTGTTTAGTGCCTGGCGACTGTTAGCTGCCACCTAACAGAGACCGCCACCGGTAATAGCCTACCCTAACAGTGCAGCTACATTACAGAATTCGTACCGTTAAAGTGTATACTTTAAAGGTTAGTTAAATTGTGGGTGGAAGATATGAGTACCTCGTATAAAATAGTCGGGTAACTCGATTTACTCGTCCTTTATTTGTGTTTTTTGTAACTTTTTGTTTCTTTTTATACCCTTGCAATTTTATAATTTTGGTCAAAAGTGTTCAACACATTGAAGGAGATGTCTTCTCCAACCCTATAATGTATTTATACTCTTGATCAGGATCACCTCCTAACTTAATATGTCCGTCCGTCTGTTTCTACGCGAACTAGTCTCTCAAGCTATTCAATTAAGGGGAGGGTAAGGTATTAAATTTTTTTTTTTTCATTTTTTTTTTATTTTTTAAATTGAATGCATAATATCTGAAGAATATTTTGTCAAAATTTCAAGTCAATTAAAGCAAAATTGACGAAGTTATTAGTTATTGACGAAGTTGCTTGCAAACGTTTTACACTGGATTTTGTTTTGTTTAAAACTTTAAAGCGTTATTCCCACAACTCACGTTTTCAAAGTCGGTGCCCCTCATAACTTCAAAACTACTGCACCGATACTTTTGAAATTTTAAATACTATTTCTGTACATATTTTACGAGGTAACGCTGTCGAGTTTTTTTTTTTGTTCATAATTTCGATTTTGCAATGACAAATTAACCGATTTTTTCCCAAAAAATTGAGTTTTTCACTTCAAAGTCTTCGAAAAATTAAAAATTGCAATTTTCAAAAAACCGTTACAGCGTTACCTGGGGCGAACTATTATTTAACGAATGAACTTGCATTTTTGATTACAAATGATCCAGCACCGAGTTATGAGGGGCACCGCAATTCAACTTTTTTTGGCGACACGTCCGGACAATTGCTACCATTGCCACATTTTTAAATATTTTTTTGTAAAAATTTGATAAAACATTCTTCTAATGTCATACTTTAATATGCCGTTGGTTGAATAAATAAATTTTAACTGTGTCGTCAGGAAAAAAATCACAAAAACATGACTTTTTTCGCATGATTTGACCTTACCCTCCCCTTAATACTCTTCTTTCATTTATACGCAGTATATAAGTCGGAACGAGCGGGATCGGCCGACTATATCTATCCTATATAGTGTATACAGCTGCCATATAACTGTTAGATCGGAAATGCCATAACTTTGGTGTTTCTAGAGTAAGAGAGTGGGGTTTTTTACGGATACTTATACGACATAATAATAAATAATATTATATAATGTCGTAAATAATACGACATACCACATACCATCAAAAATTACCCAACTTTCGTGTTTTTAAAGATGCTTTATTTTCGATATACGAGGTGTGTTCAAAAAGTAAGGTTACTTGGTTTTTTCTTAAGAAAAACTATTAATATTAATAGTTTATTTTGTCGCCTTCAAAGTAATCCCCATCAGATATAATACAATTATTGCAACGGTTTTCCAATCCTCAAATAACTTACCATAAGCACTTTTCGGTATAGCCTTGAGCTCTTCCAGCGATGCAGCCTTTCTCTTCAATCGTACCAAATTCCGTCCTTTCATAGCTCTCTTTAGTTTTGGAAAAAATAACATGTCACATGGGGCCAAATCCGGTGAATATGGTTGTTGTTGACGTGCTTGTGCGTTCGAAGCGAGGCTCGTCATTGGCTCGCCTTTGATCCATATTTTTTGATAGCAAAAAATCGCAGAGCACGCCAAACAACTTGTAACCTTTACGCCTCTCACAACCAAACAAAAAAAAGGGGTTCAAATGAAACTTGGTACAGATGTTAGGGAAAAGTGTACCAACATAACAAAAAAAAAAAATCGATAATCCAAAATATGTTGCCCGCGAAATTTTAAAAGTCACCTTACTTTTTGAACACTCCTCATGTCTGAAATCTTATCTGAACGGGTATATCAACTTATCATAGGGGTTAAGAACAAAAATTATTTTAACTATTATTGTTATAGTTAACATGTCGTGGTTAACTAGAAGAATATTCTTTTTTTTTAAATATTTACGTTGCAAATTATTGTGAAAAAAAATTAAAAATCCACAATAAAGATTGATCATGATTTATATTTTTTCGGTCAGGGAAAAATTATTATTTATGATTATATTTTTTTTTCCATCACTTACGGTCCCTGGTATTTTATTCAGCAGCATCAATATGCGAGTCGATATAGCTATGGCCGTCAATCTGTGTGAATCTCGAATTTTTCGATTGGTTTTGAATTTTTGCCACGTTTCTCCCGTTATGCCAAAAATGGCATATGTTAAAAAAAAAATGCAGCCAAATCGGTGGATTTGTACAGTTATAGACATTTAAATTCAGATTCCCACATTCTGATTCGTGACATTTGATACTGGCTTGTTTCATTTTTAAATGCGTGGATTTCACTTAGAATTTCATGGAGCTCATGCAGATCCAGTTTATGTAACTCCAACCATCAAAAATATTTGATTTTAAATAATAAAAAATAGTTTCTCCTCTTTGTTTTAAAAATTTGAGGCTAAAATATAAGTCAGAATTAAAAAGCCCATGATTTTGACGAATACGTCCTATGTAATTTGAAAATTATGTCATAAAAACAAATTTTAAGAAAAATTTCCTTTTTTTCATTAAAAAAATATATAATTTTTAATTCAATATTTATAATCTTGTTCCCCTTTTTCTAGATGCAAACCTTGGTAAACTATAGAATTCAGCCAACATCAATGGTGCCTCTTTATAATTATAACATAAACCGTTATATGAACGACTACAATTACTACCAGAATTTAAAAATGAATTCATATATTAAGGAAAATAATTTTGATTCATCAATATATAGTTTAAATTCTTCGTTTACAACTTCACAAAACATTGTGTCTCAAATGAGTTGTGTAGAAGGCCAATGCGACAAGATACCAGAAAATAATATTTCCCCATACGAACAATATAGAAGTATTATGGAAACTTCATTAAATCAATTTTTTTTAAATCAAAGTTATATATCCAATATTGAGCAATTGAAAGAAGAAAACAAAAATTCATTTGTAGAAAAATCAAAAACAAATTTATACAAAAACTTTTCTCAAACTTTTAATGATAAGCGTCCATTGCCTACGAGTATTGGTTATGAAGATATTTTACATTTGAATGAACTTTCTACAATTATTAAAAATTCCCAAGATACAAATATACATACAGCTATAACTCCTGAAAAAAAAAATAATAACTTCCTTGTTGAGAAAAATTTAAATCGCCTTGGTTCCGGTAATATGTCAAATATGTTGAGTGACGGATCTTCCAAAACGGGTTCTGGCGACAATTCAAAAAATAAATTAGTAACATTAAATGCATACAAACAGGATCATTCAAATGTGAATAAAGAGCACAAACATTTAAGCATAATGACTATGGATTTATATCAAACTTCAAAAGTAAAGGATGTGCCAAGTTGTAGTAAATCAGTCAAAAAACCTTTGTTTAAAACAAACAATCTATCAAGTACTCTCGAAACTCAAATAAAAGAAAACCATGTACTGACAAAAGTATCAGAAAATCAGGAAAAAGTTATGTCCAGTTTATTTGTAACAAACAACTCACAAAAAAAAAGTAACATGGATATAACCAAAGATGTTTGTCTTAAGGATAATGACGACATTATCAAGGAAAAAACACCTCCATTAGAAAATATAAATATTCGAAACTCTGCGAAAAATAACGATACATCAATACGGTAAGATAAATTATTATTGTTATTTTATATATACACTAGATGGCTTAGCAGCTTTCATATTGCAGATTGCATATTGCCCCAATGACACACACTACTGTGATTCAGTATGTTTATCTATTTAAGCTTTCTTAAAAGATATATTTATACCCTTGCAGAGGGTATTATAATTTTGGTCAAAAGTGTGCAACGCAGAGAAGGAGACATCTCCGACCCTATAAAGTATATATATTCTTGAAAAGGATCACATCCTGAGTTCACATCGGTCTGTCTGTCCAAGTTCTAGTAAATCAGTCAAAAAACCTTTGTTTAAAACAAACAATCTGTATGGTCATTGGAGTTTTCAATGCCGTAAATAAAACGCAGAATTTAATTAATTTTAAACGTTATAAATGTTTATTCCTGCATGCAGATGAAGCCGGATGATCCGGAGTTAGACCAGCTTATGGTGCATGCAGGGACTCAAGTAATATACAGAGAGGGTGGCCTGACAAGTCACCTCGAAGCAGCTAAAGCTCTCGACAATGGAGAGGGCGGCCCGACCTAGTCATTGCCGAGCTAAAACTCTCTCGGAGAGTCGGCTTGCGATCAACTAGCTTTTGTATCCCTCTCTCATATCATATCTCTCTCTTTTGTATCTCTTGTAGTCTCTCAGTTTTAAAGCTATCGACTTGAAACTTTGCACACACCCTTCTTTCCTCTGCACGCAGAACGGCCTTACTATATCCTATAGCTGCCATATAACTGATTGATCGGAAATGGCATAACTTTGGTGTTTGTAAAGTTAGAGAGTTCAAATTTTACGAGAGAGCTATTTTATATTAAAATAATAAGAATAAAAATAATAAAATAATAATTCCAAATTCTATAAGGATCGGCCGACTATATCCTATAGCTTTTTGAAGATAGAAATCTGGAACTTCGGACAGATTCTATTTTTGATCAGATAATCCGACCAACCAAATTTCAGAACGGTCGCCATACAGCTGCCATATAACTGATCGATCGGAAATGGTTGTTAGAGAAATACCAACTTTGGTATTTTTAGAGATAGAAGTTTGGGACTTTTTTTTGATTTTGTAATATAATAATCGGCCAACTATATCCCATGTTTGCTATATATATCCGGTTTTAACTACAAAGGTATATTACCTTCGGCTCCGCCCGAAGTTAGCTTTCCTTTCTTGTTTTTGTTTTTTTATGTGTAAATAAACAAACAAATAAGATGCTCAAACACGCAACGTAAATTTTTCCATGCTCGAAACCATGTTGATTCCGCAGACTGCTAAGTTAGCATTGCTAACGACTGTCCTTTCTATTTATTGATTATCATTGCATAGGCCAGACATACTTGAAATTGAAAACGTTTGAAATTGATCGGTAAATTCGTTTGAATCAACGGTGGTCGAGAGATCAAAACATCCTCTCATTTGTATTTTCTTTTAATAGTTGTTGCCTCAATGATTTTTTTTCATCAGCTTTCAGCCAGTCTGGTTTCATTGCAAAGTTGATTAATGTTACACACGATAATGAAAACTGATCCTTAGTGAATTTTAAAACTGCATAGGATAGTTCACCACGTCATTCGGAAAATAGTTAATTATATGATTTTTAGGGTAAAAATTTATGGTTTATTCGCCAGGTGCAGATGGTGTATTAGGGTGATGTTAGGGCGCGAGAAGCGATGAGCAAAGCGAGAAGATGGCAGAGGAAGAGCTTTGCGAAAAGCAAGCTACATTGTTCTATTTTTAGCTATTAATTTAATCGTGACGGATTCAAACAAAGATTTTTTTGCTTCAAGTGCAACACTTTTTTTTGTGTTAAAAAAAAAAGTCGTGTCCACTCGCTTAACTGCAGAAGGAACAAAACCACAATTTTGTGACACAACATTCAATTAAAAGTTATTAAATTACAGAATGCAACAAAAAAATCCTACGCTCTTGGTGAGTTGCTCTACTCGCAACTCGCCTCGCTCTAACTCTGAAATCTTTCAAGAGATTGCATATGAAACAAGAAAGGAAAGCTAAATTCGGGCGGAGCCGAAGTTGAAAAACCCTTGCAGTTAAAACCGGATATATATCGCAAACATCGGATATAGTTGGCCGATCATTATGAGAATGTCATAACATTACCAATTTATTACAATGCAACAATTAAAAAGTTCTTCAAAAAAAAAACAAAGTTGGTATTTTTACCTAATACCATTTCCGATGGTTCAATTATATGATAGCTATATGATATAGTTGGCCGATCGTTATGAAATTTGGTAGATCGGATCCACTGACCAAAAACCAAATCTGTAAGAAATTCCAACTTTCTATCCTCAAAAACACGAAAGTTTCGTTATTTCCGATCGTTCAGTTATATGGCAGCTATAGGATATAGTCGGCCGATCTTTACGAAATTTGGTAGGTCGTTTTATTTTGCCAAAAATAGCACTCATGCAGAATCCGAACTCTCTAATTCTAACACCCAAGCTTTAGCATTTCCGATCAATCAGTTGTATGGCAGCTATAGGGTATAGTCGGCAAATCCCGGCCTTCCGACTTATTCTGCGTGCAAAAGAGAGAAGGGTGTGTTCAAAGTTTCAAGTCGATAGCTTTAAAACTGAGAGACTAGTTTGCAATGGCAATCGTGAAGACCAGATAGACTGCCAGAAACTAGGTGTTGCACAGGTGTTGGAGGCGTTGCACATACTCCGGGTGCCGACAAGTATTGTCGAGATTATAAGGTCATACCTTAGCGATCAAACCATCAGGTACGAGACGACCACAGGCAAACAAGAGCATGGGGTCACCTGTGGTGTCCCTCAAGGCTCCGTCTTAGGGCCAGCCCTATGGATCGTCATGTATGGCGGGGTCCTCAGACTTGATCTCTCAGACCGAAAACACCTAGTCGGATTTGCAGACAAAATTGCAGTAGTGGTCGTCGCCAAAGACAATCCAGGAAGTCGAGAATTCCTGCAAAGCTGCAATTGGAAGGGTCAGTGATTGGCTGGACCAGGCAGGGCTAAGCCTAGCCCACCACAAGATAGAGGCTGTCTTGATCTCAAGCAGGAAGCGGCTGCAGCCAGCCACGTTTAATGTCAGCGGACACGCGTTTACATCAATCAGGGCCATCAGATGCTAGGAGTTACTTTGAACACAAACTTGCGAACTAATTGGAACTTGCGAGTAAATCACTACTATTGAATAGCACGGTCAGCGCGAAGACGAAGTTCACTTCACTGTAATAACTGACAATATCTTTTATTTGGTTTTTTAAGATCATCAAAAAGTACATTACTCAATATACTAGTGATGCAATATAATGAGAGAATACTGCAATCCCTTTCTTTTTTCTCTATTTTTGGCATCTTTTTTGGATTCTGCCCCAGTGTGCAGCGCATACCGAATCAACAAAAAATTCAAAGAGACGGTGCCATGCTCCAACAAACAAAACAAAACTGGGACGGATTGTCGCAGGAAAAATAAAGGCCAGAACTCAACCGGCCGTGTCTTATGGAGCAACGCTGACTCTAGAAACTGACCCATTGATTGAAAGGTTTCGGGAATTGGATAACCTGGACAATCAAACGAAACATCTATCTCCGACAAAAAACATTGTGAGAAACACTCTGTAGAAAACCTGAAAAGAGCAGCCGACAGAAGTCTTATTGTAAAGCTGCCTTTTGCCAAACACCCTTCAGCCCTAGGAGAGCCAAAAGACATTGCTATCAAAATGTTTCTCACTCTTGAGCGACGCTCGACTGGTAACGTTCGGAAAGGTTATTCTGATTTCATGGAGTACTAAGCGTTGGGACATATAATACTGGTGCCGTCAAGCCATATACCCAAATATCAATATTTTATTTGTGATCACTGGGTCTTGAAGCCTGAGAGCAGTAGCACAAAACTGCGAGTAGCATTTAATGCGTCTTGCAAAACGTCAAGAGGGAAATCCTTGAATGACATGTTACTGTCTATATTTACGGCACATATAGAAAAGTATAGATTACGTCAAATATAGATTAACCCGGATGACCAATTTAATCAACTCATATTTTGGCGAAACGATTCAGCGGTAGACCTCATATACTACCGACAAAAAACAGTAAACACCTACGTCACAAAGACAGCCCCATCCCTAGCTACAAAATGCCTTAATCATCTAGCGATCCGGTCACGGGGAAATTACCCTCTAGGACCGACAGCACTCTATGTAAGCGATTGTTTGACGGGTGCTGTTTCAGTCGCAGAAGCAGTGCAAAATCAAAGGAAACTCAACTCAAGCTTTAAGCTTCGCAAATGATGCTTTAACAATGGAGTTGATGTATTGTCCAGAGGTACTACCACCAGCAATCTAACACATAATAATATCTGGTTCTATGGTCCTCTATTCTTGCATGGATCTAAGGAGAACTGGACTAACATGGCAACCATCTTTTCGATCAGTTTGGAGCAGAAGACAAAATTCGGCAACATGGCAGAATTATAATTATTCGGCACAGCAACTCGTTCAGCAACAGACTGCAACGGACTTTTGCATATGTGCTCTGATTCTGCTACAAATTCAACAGAGCGCCAACAAATCGTCCATTCTTCAACACTGGAATAGACTACTGCGGTCCTATTATGGATTCATCATAAGATTCAAGGCGAACGACCGGACAAGACTTACATCGCAGATTTTTGTTGTTTAGCAACAAAGGCTCTTTATTTAGAGTTGGTGAGTGATCTCACCACAGATGCCTTTCTAGCCGTTCTCCGCCACTTCCTGCGACGTCAAGAAAAATGTGACACGATCTATGGCGATAATGCTACGAATTTTATTGGGGCCAACAAAAAATAAATCGAGTTAGAAAGCGCCGTCTTTTCCAGGGATGCTAAGGAAAGCATAGTCCAGCACTGCAAACAAAGGCAAATCGACTTTAAATTGGTGGTGATCATTTGGTGATGCGCCATCTATCTGGTGATCTATGGGAAGCTGCAAAATGGCTTCTAGTACCATTGCTTCCTTAACATTTGAAGTAATCGTAATCGAATCAACACAGTACGTTGAAGTAGAGACAATTCTCAATTTGCGCCCTATCACTCCCATGCCGTCAGACCACGCTGACAAATCAGCATTAACGACATTCCTTAATTGGCAAGCCATTGACGGTTCCTCCTGATGCCAAAACCACCCTGTGGGAAAATTCTCGACTAAAACGATGGGAGCTGGTTTCAACACTGAAGCATGCGGAAGCAGTGGGCATGTGAGTACCTACAAGATCTGCACAATCGTCAAAAATGGAAGCATGCGTTTCAAAATAACAAGGAGGGCTTGCTAGTCCTCTTAAAGGAAGAAAATATGCTGGTGATGAGTTGGCTTATGGGACGAGTCATAAAAACGTATCTTGGACCCTATAGTTTCGTCCGGGTAGTCGACATAAAAAATTCATCTGGAATTTTCAAAAGACCAGTGACGCAGTTAGCTCCCCCATTTCCAGATGAAATCAACAACAAGCGCTCATTGGACGTCACCAGTAAGCCTGAACAGTAGGAGGAGCCCCCTAAACAATGCAAAAGAGGGCTTCTGTCACCAATACCCATAATCTTAGAACTATTGTTGCTGCCATGGCACAGCCTATAAAAGTGACTGAGTTCTGCAACAAGCCTGGAATGTTCTACGAAAGTATATAACAACAAGAATGGTAGTCTTAGAGTAGATAATGACAGTCTACCACGACCTGGAACAATATTGGAAGGACATGAAGAGTCTCTCGGATGGCTTGACTGAACTCTTACACAAATGTCAAGAACTGAAATTCACTGCATCGTGCAATCGCCTAAGATCGTTGAAACATCAGATGACCATTGATGACCTGATACAACAGAAAGTATCAGGGTGCCTAGCTGGAGCAATCATTTGTGATCCCCATAGCTCAAATGATTCTGCGTGCAAATGGATTACAGCGGATGCAGAGTGAGATAACCAACGTGATAACTGATGTTCGCCATAAAAGCATCAGTCCTATTTGGTGTCTCCTACGCAACAACGACCAAATCCGGGATCATTTTCCCCCCGGTAAGATCTTGCCAGTTGCCAGTACTGAAGTTCTTCATCTGTATCAGCTAATGTCGGCACAAGGCAGCAAAAAAGATACTCACGTTATCTTCACACCATGACTTAACCGCTGGCAACACCAGAGGATCCACTAGAGGGGTGATCCCCACGCTTGAGGTTTTAATCGAAACAATTTCTGGTATCGAGTAGTATAGATTTTTCAAGATATTTACTCGCTCGGTCAAATTTTACCTCGCATAACGCTGAATGTTAAAGGAATTATATTCGCCGCTGCAGGATACAATTTACTTAGGATCCAAAGCAGTTGTAAACACGTATCTTTTCCACTCCTGCTTATGTTTGTAAATGCCTCTGCGACCTCTGATCAGGACATTGCCGATCTATTCGCAGAAAAATTCAACTTATAGAATTTTCAACTTATCTTTAGAAACCTCGATTTTTTCCCTTAAGTGAAAGGAAGCTTTCATAATTCCCCTACATAAAAATGGGGAAAAGTCCGATGCTGCCAACTACAGAGGCATCTCTAAATTGTCGGTCATTACAAAGTTATTTCAAAAATTAATTACTCCTCATTTGCAATACCTTTTCTCTTCGATCATCTCTCCATAGCTTCATTAAGCGTAGCTCCACCACCACAATATTACTGGAGTTGACACCCTTTTTCATAGATGGCTTTCGAAAGGGATGTCAAACAGATGTTATTCACACAGACTTTAGCAAAGCTTTTGATTCAGTCAGTCACTCACTCTTGGGGAGCAAACTGAATATGCTGTGATTTTGTACAGACCTCTTAACGTGAATCTCTAGCTACTTAGATGGAAGGACACAAAGAGTCTTACCTTAGTAAGACCATCTGGTGTCCCTTAAGGAAGTTATCTTGACCTGTTGTTATTTACTCTTTTTATTAATGACTTGCCTCCTGCTTTCTCTAGTTCTTGTGTATGCAGATGATGTAAAGCTTTGTCTTCAGTACAAATCCATCTGCGCCCAATGCAGTCTTCAGTCTGATCTTGAAAACTTTCAAAAATTTTGTTTAGCAAAAGATTTAATACTTAATGGATCAAAACGCAAGCTTATATCCTTTTATCATTATTGTCCTCTGCAGGCTACGTATTCTCTCTATGGGACTGCGTCCTATTAGACTTGAAAACATAAATTGGCTAAAGGTGTCCTTGGTTTCATTAAAAGGTAGTCAAAAGAATTTAATGACCCCTAAATTATTAAAGGCTTATACATTTATTTGGTCCGTCCGATACTGGAGTACGGTTCATCTGTCTGGAGTCTCCAATATGAAGTACATCAGAATCGCATAGAATCCGTTAACTGGGATGCAACTTTTCAACTTCCATCTTATTGTACTAGACTCTTACTAATAAACTTACCAAGCTAAACCAATCGAAGGACAATGCTGGGTGATTTCAATATACTAGTTCTGATATGTGTCCACAACACTCGGCACTCGACACTCGGTCGGCACTCAATATAATGATATGATTTTAATGATTTTAAATATGATTTTCGCAGATCAAGTTTTCTTAAATAATGTTTCCCCGCAAATAAAGTTTATGCATATACAAATTTTTTTATCAAAACGGAAATCTCGTTGTAGCGCCAGTTAACACAAGTTTTTTATAAAAATGAATTGATGCCAATCTATTTCCAAGCCTATCCTTCAATCAAACCATTACCTTTAAATCAAACTTCGGCTCAATCTGACCATTTTTAAGGAGTTATAGAGTGCAAGAAATAATAAAAATAAATAAACAATAAAAAAAGAAAAAGAAAAATAGTTTCCGTGTAAGACTACGTTTTAACGTCTAGTGTTACCTTTTTTTCATTTTTTCCTTACAGAAATAGATATCAGATATATTGCGCGTGGCCTGCGGGGTATACACCATTATTTAACCGAAGAAAAATATTTGATATCTATTTTATAACTAAATATTATATAATACTAGCTGACCCGGCAAACGTTGTTTTGCCACCAGATGACTTTATAAATTCTATAATTACAAAATCTACTCAGTTCCAGACTTATGTGAATGCGCTGTGAACCATAAGGGAATATAAAAATAACAAAAGACAAACATTATTTTTATGTTATTATTTGATCGTAATTCAGCAAGTTCCTCTCTTAGTGCTAAAGCGTGAACTATATTTTGCGTTAGTCCATCTTTAGCTAACTCACACAAACTGGATGGTTAACCCACTCGGGAGCATGCCACGTTCTTAAATCTAAGCCACAAATAGACATCGTTTGACCTTGGGATTTGTTGATAATCATTGCAAATGCCAATCTAATCGGAAACTGATTACGTTTGAATTGAATTGGCGCATCTGTAAGTATAATAGGAACCCGTGGTACTAGTATATTTTCACCTCTGAACTTTCCATTTAAAATACTGGCTTCGATGACGTTTTATATTAATTTTTGAATGACTAATCGACTGATTTCTGCTTCAAATTACGAAGTAGGATAAACGGAGATCCAACTTAACGCGCAACACATCCCAGCTGGCTCATTTTTGAATTTCAGAGCATGGCCACTTTTGAGTGAGCATAATACTTAATATGCGCACTCAATACTAGGCTCATACTGGAATGCTAGTCGCAGGAATGAATCAGATATTTATATTTAATATAGCTCGATGTACCTGTTTTGGTTGTTGGTCATTTGTTTTGCTTCAATTGCCTGTGAAACGGCGTGATTATCGTTGTTCTAATCTTCTGACTTTTTTGGGTTCAGCTCGTGTATCTTCTGGGTCTTCTTGATTTTGCACTGTTCTAACACGCACATCAGAATTTTCTTGCTGGATTTGTTCGGATCTTCTATTTCCCATGTTTCGAGATCTAATTGTATAATATCACGGCTCACCCCCTTTGCGTTTTCTTGGCATTGCTCAAAAAAACACTCATAAATAGAATTATTGTATTTACTTAATGATGAAGGATTTTTGCCCCAGTTTGAATTGAGTTAAAATGCTATGGTAGCGTGCGTTTGTCAGTGTGATGAGGTAGTAACTCACTTTAAATGCGATTTTGGGTATGTCGAACAGGATTTAAGAAGATGAAAAATAGATGCTGGCGGATTCTCAGACCTACTCAATACGCTCACAAAATTTCATGAGAATCGGTATAGCCGTTTAGGAGGATTATGGAGACAAAAAACTGTGACACGAAAATTGTATATATAAGATTAAAAAACATATGTTTCTGAATATATGTTATATGTATATGTTTCTGAACATATATGTTATTGAATATATTCAATAATTTCTATTTTTTCTTTATTTTCAGGACCAAAAATGTGCGGAGATTAACAGAAGATGAAACACACATATATTTGAAGCGACCTAAATTTTAATAAATTTGAAACTTTATCAAACCACTCCGCAAATGTGCGGAGATTAACAGAAGATGAAACACACATATATTTGAAGCGACCTAAATTTTAATAAATTTGAGACTTTATCAAACCACTAAGAATAAGTAGAATTAAAACCATAAACAATTAAAGTAAAATGATCCACATTGTTACATAAATATTATTTTCAGCAAGTCACTAACAAAATGAAGAGTAACTTTTAGAACTTCAGAAAAATTTCCCAGGATTCTCACAAAGAAGTATAATTTTCATATTTCCACTATATCGAGCGCTCTTTGCAAAACGCCATTCAACGCCAGAAAAATTGTTTTTATGCAAATGTGTACATAATTACCAACTCCATTTGCTCCCAAAATATTAAAAGATAATGGCATCTATTTACGGAGATATCGGCCTGTCTAGCGACTAACGCCTATGTTAGTGGCCGAGAAAACTCTCTCGTGTAAAATTTGCTATTTGGCGCTTACGATATTTTTGCAAATAGGGATCGATATACAATATTACAATATAATATTTTATTGGCTAAAGATGATGGAGTGTTATGAAGTATAAATGAATTTAAATAGTAATAAATAAATCTAGTAAATAAATAATGAAGTAATAAATTATTTATAAATAAATCTCCAAAATTCCAAGGCCAGAGGGGTCTCAAACTTTCCAATTCTCTTAGTCGACGTTGATCAGCTATAGCATCCATTTTGGGATGCTCTGCCTGCACACCGACACTATAAACACTGCACTTTAGACGGAAACCCAAATTTTGTGACATAAACTCTTATTGTAAATGCACTCGTAAAGTTTAACAGCCGAGACGATCTAGCTAGTATAAACGCGTGGATCTCAGAGACAATAAGCGATAGAGAAAAATATTTTTCGGGTCTGGAGGTCAGACCATATTTATGGTCTGATGTTTTCGGGGTCGCTGAATCGAAATCCGAGGTTCAAAAAATTTTTTTTCGGGGTCGCTGAATCCAAATCCTATAACTAAAAAAAAAACTCTAAAATGTCAGGGTTACGACATAACCGCAAAAGCTAGATAACATTTTTCTCATTCTGGAGTTTTTTAGACATCGGATTCGGATTCAGTGACCCCGAAAACATATAATAAACATGGTCTGACCCCCGGACTCGAATATAATTTTATATATATAATCAGTGGATATTCTCCTTCCTTATCTCCATCATTATGGTTATTTTCGGTAAAAAAAAACTTTATACCTGATGCCAGCTAGATAGGGTTGTCATTCCTAAAGACCTTTATATGCCTATTACTTTTCAGAAGTAGCTTTTAATCATGGGTCATACAGTAATTGAATTGCTTGTTCATTTTACCTAACATGGGTTTCGACAATGAATATCCATTAGTTTTTTTTCGCACAGACATTTAAAGGAGCGGTAAAGCAGCGCCCTTTGCACAGTTACACTTTTTCAAAATCGCCACCACGGATGTGAACTGTCCCTAAAATACGTGAAAATCTTAAATCTAATTAAAGATTATTTAAAGATTAAACTATCTTTTTATCAACGCACTACACGCTGGCATGCTCCGTGACCCTTTCTTCAGTGCGATTAACGCACCACGTATGCATTTTTATGTTAGGCTGCAGGGGATCGGTCATAAACCATGCTGTTTATGTCTTATTTCCATGAGTCCCTTGAAACTTTCTTTAGAATTCTTATTTCAACTGGTGTTCAAGGCTTAAACATACAAATTAACACATCCTAGTTTTTTTAATTCACGTTAATTTTACTCGTTCTGCTCCACGAAAAACAACTATCTTTTGAAAAACAACACTTCAGCCGCTGGGGCCCCTTGTTGCTGCACCCAGGAGTTTGTGTCGACTGCGCCCAACCGCAGGGCAGTGAAACAGGTGGTGTGTGACTGTCTCCTCCTATTCTACATCAAAGCAGCTCCTACAGTAATCACAGTGAACCAGAAGGTAGGATGAAATTAGGTAGCAAAAAAAGGGGCTTAGGTTATTTTTTGCGAGGATGCGGGCTCGCCTTTTACCTGTTGTATCAGCTTTGCAGAGCATGACTTCCGACGGCATCCACCCAAGAATCCTGTCCTGGATGCGGGCCACACTCCACACTCGGTGGAGTAGCAGGGCAGCTGACTCCGCCTTATTGTGGGGATGTTTATCTGCAAGATTCTTTTTTTTTTTTTTTCGTGGTCTTTCAGAATTTGGAAATGGCTTGTGCATCAATAAGAGCATCAGCTAGCATACCTGTATTCATCCTAAAGCTTAGAGGCCCAGACGACCGAGGGGCGCTCGAGAAACGATTTGTTAGTACATATTAAACTATTTGAAATTTGTTAAGCTAAGAGGAGTTAGTAAGAAAATTTGAAATTCTATATTTTTAATTAGAGGGACAGGAAAGAGATGTGATAGAGTAGAGAGCATTGTAGTTCGAACATAATACCCTAAAAGGGTCATGCAGTGCATATGTCGAACTACAACGGCTAAGGAACAGAGGACTAAAGTTTCGAGTCCTTCTATTAGGAATGTTTAATTTTAAACGTGTTAGTAAATGCTGGCTATCTACATCCCCGTTAATAAGGTTATGCAGAAAAACTACACCGACCATTGTCCTACGATTCGTTAAGCTAGGTAAGTTTATAAGTAAAAGTCTGCTACTGTAGGATGGAAGCTGAAGATTTGCATCCCAGTATAGACCTCTAAGTGCAAATATTAAAAAGTTCTTTTGTACGGATTCTATGCGGTCCTTATGTACTCCATATTGGGGACTCCAGACACATGAACCGTACTCCAGTATCGGACGGACCAAAGAAATGAATAAAGTTTTGGTTATATAGGGGTCATTAAATTCTTTTGACCACCTTTTAATAAAACCAAGGACTCCTTTAGCCTTATTAACCATTAAGGAAATATGGTCGTTAAATTTAAGTTTTATGTCTAATAGGATGCCGAGATCATTAACCTGGGTTAATTTTTCTAAGGCAATCCCATTAATGGAATACGTAGCTTGCAGAGGGCAAGAACGATAAAAAGACATATGCTTGCATTTTGATCCATTAAGTATTAGATCATTAACCAAACACCATTTTTGAAAGTTATCAAGGACAGACTGAAGACTGCATTGGGCAGAGATGGATTTGTACTGAAGACAAAGCTTTACATCATCTGCATACATAAGAACTAGAGAGTTCGTTAAAGCAGGGGGCAAGTCGTTTATAAAAAGCGTAAATAATAACGGGCCAAGATGACTTCCTTGAGGGACGCCGGATGTAGCACGGACCAGACGGGACTGTATGTTTTTAAATAAGACTCTTTGTGTCCTTCCATCTAGGTAGCTGGAGATCCACGTTAAGAGGTCTTTAGGAAAACCCAGCATATTCAGTTTACTCAACAAGAGTGAGTGATTAACTGAATCAAATGCTTTGCTGAAGTCTGTGTAAATTACATCGGTTTGATATCCCTTAGAAAAGCCATCTATGACAAAGGATGTCAACTCCAATAAGTTTGTGGTGGTGGAGCGACGCTTAATAAACCCATGCTGACAAGGAGTGATAATCGAAGAGCAAAGGTGTTGCAAATGAGGGGTAATTAATTTTTCAAATAATTTTGGAATTGCCGACAACTTAGAGATGCCTCTGTAGTTGGCAGCCTCGGACTTTTTCCCTTTTTTATGTAGGGGAATTATAAATGATTCCTTCCACTTAAGGGGAAAAATGGAGGTTTCCAAAGATAAGTTGAAAAGTCTTAGAAGAGGTTTGCACAGAGCCCTGGCGCAGTATTTTAGCACACAGCCTGGTACTCCGTCGAGGCCTGGCGAATAAATGGGTTTTACCCTTAAAAGACCAGATAATAAGTTGTTCCCAGAAAAAAACGGACAGAAAATAAGATTTGCTGCTTGAATGTTATATGCGTAAGGCTGATCAGTCAATTTAGGAGGAGAATAAGTTGTTTGAAAAAATTCTGCGGATAGATCGGCAATGGCCTGATCCGAAGTCGCAGAGGAATTTTCAAACGTAAGCAGGGGTGAAAAAGATACGTGTTTACGCTTAGTGTTTACAAAATTATAAAACTGCTTTGGATCCTGAGTAAATTGAATCCGGCAGCGGTCAATATAATTCCTATAACATTCAGCGTTATGCACGGTAAAATTCGACCGAGCTAGTAGGTATCTTGAGAAATCAACACTACTGCAGGTTTTTTTATATTTAAGTAACAGCTTATTTTTTTTATTTTTTAAGTTAGTAAGGCACCTTGTAAACCAAGGAGGATTTGTTGAAGCGGACGGATATTTCCAAGGCACACATGAGTCAAAAAATTTATTTAAAGTAAAATAAAATTTTTCTAAAGTGACATTAAGATCAGTGCACGCCAGAATATCAGACCAGTCAAATGTATCAATAAGGCTATTAAGTTTCTGAAAATCAGCTTTACGGAAACAGCGAATCTTATTTACCACGCTCAGAGACATCTGATCGATACCAGGAGTGGTTTCGATAGAGACCTCCAGCGTGGGGTGAAATGGATCCTCTGGGGATGAAAGGGGGAAAGCTCTGGAGAGAATATATATAATAGAGAATACATCAGAATATAGTTTAGGGAGTTTAGGGTGTTAGGGAGTGGGCGAAAAAGAGGTGGAAGGTTGGTCAGTGGTTCTAATGTGGGGAAGTTTCACTCCCACTGGTTTTAAAACCGTTTTTCTTCACGGAACAAGGCTGATGTTCTCTGGCCAAAAACTGGGTGAACAAATCGTCTTGAACATCAGCGCACGCACACGAAGGCATAAAGAAGACGTGCGCCTTACATATTTATATTTAAATTAAACTATGTTCTCCACCTTTATATCGGCTTTTGTTTTGGCTTCTGAATCTCTGAAGTATCAGGGGCAAGCCGAGAAACAAATATATGTTTCGATGGAGGAATCACCTGTAAGGGTTTAGCTGTCGTAGGTACGAGAACTGCAGCATCAGTCGGTGCCGGTGGTCCGGACTTTGGAATACCCTTTTGGGTGACTCTAACGGGGGTTTCATTCACTAGGACCCGTGGTATTACTTAAAGGGATACCACGGAGGACATCTCCGACAATTGCTCATTTGTAGTGCGATAGACGGCGAATTTTTCTCAGTTCTAGCCCTTGGGGTGGCCAGAGATATGAGCGGCTG